TGTCAATGCAGCAATTCTAGTTCCTGATCCTGATCTTTTGGCCCTGTCACAAAGGAGGACTGGTCTCTGGGTACATAGTGAAGCTGCCACGTGCTGTGTAGTTAGCACCAAAATCAGTTTTTAGTTCCCCAGAAATCCCTGGCCTCATGTTAAAGTAGTAATTAAAATAGAAAACAAGTGACTTTGGCTGATGCCAAGCTAGAATTACTGTACCTTTATTTGTCTTAATTTCAGGAAAAAACATCATCACCTCTTTGAACCTGTTGCAGCGATAACCATGGAAAAGTGCTTCCACAATCTGCCCACATCTCAACTCAACTCAACTTTATTTATATAGCGCTTTACCACAGCCACAGCTGACCAAAGTGCTTAACATACCATACAAGTCTAAAATCATAACAGCATAACTAAAAATAAAAACAATAAAAACATACACTATAGCACTACAGACAGAGTCTCATTCCTGGCCAAACGCCATTGAGTACAAATAGGTTTTCAAATAAGACTTAAAAATGGACAACGATGGCCTGCCTAATATAAAGAGGCAAAGCATTCCACAAATTTGGACCCACCACAGCGAACGCTCTATCCCCCCTAGTTTTCCACCTGACCCTCGGTGCCTCCAGAAGAATCTAAGGCACTGTGACGGATTATACGGACGTAAAAGTTCCGCAAGATAAGATGGTGCGAGCCCATTTAAGGAATTATAAGCAAATAAAAGAATCTTAAAATGAACCCTAAAATGCACAGGAAGCCAGTGAAGAGATGCCAGGACTGGGGTTATGTGGTCCCTCTCATGTCCCCCTACCAATAATCGAGCGGCAGCAGGCAAGACACGATTGACTGACTCCAGCGTACAATGCATTACAGTAATCCATGCGCGATGTAACAAACGCATGGATCACACTCACATCAGTGAGTTAATATACAATCTATTGCAAATTCCTTTTCTATTCCATTCACATTTCTGCAATCATTACAGTGCTCACTGTTACAATAAATGAACTATGTCCACACTATCAACAATAAAACAATAATAAACTTTGAAGAGAGTCAGCATCAAATATAACAGATGTTGCAGCCTTTGCAAACTCTATAGTTATTTGAACCAAAATCTTATATAACAAATTGAACTGAAAGGCCACAGATGAGCAGTAACATCAGATTTACTGTACAGTATGCTGTAAAGCAGGGCTATATTGTCTCATACAGCTTGGTGATTAAACATATCTCTGTGCCCTCTCTGTGTGTATAGACAGCTATAAAGGCCTTTTTCTTTATCATGTGGTGATCACAGCTAGGAGCTGGGTTGGGGGGGGCAGATGCAGTTGACCCCCGAAGGATCTACAGTTCAAAGGAACAGTGAAATGCTAAGGACCTCTCTATAACAGCATATAGTTGATAGCGCCACACCTTTACTCTCCTTCTCTAACTTCGCCCCTCATTTTGTGCAGACAACTTTTCATAGCTGTAGCTCTGTGTACACAACAACAATATGCAGATCCCTAGATTACAGCACCTTTTCCTTTATGGAGCTGTTAAATATTTCATTGCATGAAAATCTTCGGGGTCACACTACACATTTTCACAGCTAGTTGAGAAGTGAGTGAGGACGCTGACACAGGTCAGGGAGAGGTAATGAAAAGCAGAGGACTGACAAAGAGACGAGACAATACCAACAATAAGAATATACAGAGAAAAATTAAAAAGGGGGAACAGAGAAAAGTGCTCTGAATAGAAGCTGTGGCATCCCGTGCACTGCTGCCTGGCCACCCAGTACACCTGCTGCAGTCCCATTCTCCTCTCCACAGGCTCACGCTGCTGGTTTTGCCTGATAGGATGATTTGCCACTTCATTACTAATTGATAATCGCTGGAGAGAAAAGCTCATTAACCCAAGTGTTGAATAGGGCAGCTAGCACGCTGACATTTTCAGCCTCTCCACAATATCTGTGTTTATGTTGGTGAATGCGTCTCCTCCTAGCACACTAACAACACAGGCTTTGTGGGAAAGACATGAGGTCAAAAATAAGGATGGCTGTAAGTTAGAGTGAAGAGGTGCAGAGGAGTCTTTGGTGCCGAATCTTAATCTGTCTGTGGGAAAAATAACAAAAAAGCTCATGGCTGCTATTTTAACAACATGCTGATAATTGAGACTTTTGAAAAACCTAAAATTTTATTTCCAGCAACACTACTGTCTTTTAATAGCATCCAGATCTCTAGTGATTCTCTTGTTGAGATCAATGCTAATAATGAGGGGATGAGAGGAGCAGTGTTTTCAGTCATATAGTATTGAACCTCTTATTTCACATTTCACACTAGGGGTGTGTATTAAATATTATCATTGATAATATCTTAGTTGTTGTTTGAATGGTGTGTCAGCTGGTATCACTGAGTATCTCATTCACTTTACAGAAACAATCATAAACGTGCCTTGAGAGTCCACACATTCCCTGCGTCATGTAACTTAGTTGGATAGACTTCTGCCCATGCACACTGAGAGTGCACGCAGCATGAATATGATCACTGCACAATAAGTTAAGCTAGCATAGCTGCTTAAAAATGCATTATCGAAGTGAAAAATGAATGAACAAACAGCACCAAGAGAGAAAATACATACACCAAAAGCCTTGTAATCTACGTGGTTAATTTAATTGCTAGATGTGGATCGTCCTCACTTGCACAGAGGTATTTTGGCTTTAAATTATGGGTGTTGCTCAAAACAAAAAACATCAATATGTAAACTATGTCAGAAATTGGTTGCAGTTAAGCACAACTCGATAGCTTGTTTCACCCTCTGCGAACTAATCACTGCACAAAATATGAACAATATGCAAAGTGTCGGGATTCAGCCACAGGACTAAACCAGCCAAGGTAGCAGCACAAAAACACACGCAGCAAACATTAGTGGAATCATTCTGCAAAAGTGATTTCAATGTTTGTGTATTGTCGTACTTGAATGCTGCAGTTTTAAGTAAATCACTTTATGAAATGTATCCATTAATATCACTAGTAAGCAACAGTTAGTGTGCTATTAACAAGAGCGACCTGGTGCAATATAAGACTTAGACACATTTTTTTGATGGATATAAATAAATATCGTCTGCTTATTGTTATAGACAAAACCCCCCAAAAGATCTAAATATCATTTTTTTTGTCAATACCGTACACCTCTACCTCACACTGTGGTGTCTCTTAGCTGTCCTACCTCATCCTCGACATCGTGCCACTTACAGTGCTTCTGTTATTCCAGCTTCTCTATTCTGTTTTCAAGGCATGTTTCATAAGTTAGCTCTAAATGCCACCTAGAGTAGTAGTATATATATGGTATATGTGCAGATTTGTATCTGAAGGTACATATGTATATAGGTATTCATATGTACTGTATTTATGTACTGATTTATCTAATGTGTTATTTAAAAAAAACTGTAGTGCAACAGGGCTGAGACTCTGTTGTTCATAGGTTAAGTTCTATATAAATATTATGGATTGTTTTGTTCATTATAAATGCAAAAAAAAAAAAAACCTAGGCCAGATGTGCTGTACTTGAATAAGGCATCATGTACTGAAAACCTCACTAGCCAACATGACAACACTGAGCTGTTTGCAACCACTCAATTTGCTCTCAACCAGCCCCCGTGCACCTTTAAGGCATAAAAAACCAGTCAGGCCTGAAGTTATGAGGCCATCTGTCTGTGAGGATTTGTTTCGCCCTTTCGCTATGGTCACATGCTGATGCCCTTTACAACACCTCTGGGCTCCTTCTGCTCTTCTGGCAGTCGCCCCTCCACTGGCTGGAATAATATTGTGTAATTGTTATTGATGTAATGTGACTGGAAGATGCTAAGCAAAAACATTCTCTCCTCCTCTGTAAAAGGAACACCTTGTGACACGTGTGGTGGACTCCAGAAGGAGTCAATCTGACCAGTCTAGTCAAGAGGGCTGTTTTTCACTTCAGTGGCAGAGAACTTAGAAATACAGTAGTCTCACTTCTTTCCAAATACAAAGCTGCTCTCTATCACCGATCAGTATTATACACATCATGCCACTAGCTATGTAATAGTCTATGTAATAGACTGCTCATCACAATAGATGTCACAAAACTAAAGACAAGAATTACCATTTAAACAACCTTTGAATAAATCTGTTGTCTGACAGACCAAATGCTACATTAGAACAGAAAACAGCAAATATCGTACTCACTCAATCATCAGGAACTGATCCTTAAAGCTGCACCAGTATTTTTTATTTCAACAACAGGTCTGATGACTATGTACAGTGGAAATAAAGTTGCTGTATTATCTATGATTCTACACATGGTGCTGAGCTATACAATGTATTTTAGTGCCTTTCAAAAAAAAAATTTAATAAATAAAATTAACCAACTAAATTAATAAATAAATAAGGCAGCTGACTGCAAACAGATCAGCAATGCCACTGAACAGCACCACTGGAGCAAGCACTCAGTTTGTGTCACTTTCAGTATGCTTTCTGACGAGAGATTGATAAATCAAGCTCTTCCTGTTGGTTTCTTCTCCCACTAGTCAGTCCCCTAAAGTACATTATGTTGTCGAAAAGAAGTCCTGGGGTCATCAGGACTCAGAAATATGACTTAACATCTCAATGTGATTAATTAACACCTTGTCCTGACACAGTGACTGAGGCCATGAAGCCTAGAGGTTGGCAAAAAAAGTTAACAGAAGGTCATATTTTTCATTAGATAAATATTTCATATAAAGCACAAAGTGGACCTTCTGACAATACAAGCACTTTTTTGCCACCTAGCTGCTGCCAGACTGCATGTACTAATGTACATGCAAAAGAAGTTTCAACCAAATTCTACAAAATGTTTCATATCAATAAACAATAAAACCTATTTAAAAAAAACACACACAAATGTCATTTAGAAAATACTGATGACATGTCGAAACTGTATTGATTACACCACACCAACAGTCAGAACATAAAAAGTCATTCACAGCTGCAGCCATAGCTCCATACCTTTCATCTCTCCCATGTCCAGGGTCTTGCCCAGCTGCTCCAGTAGGTCTGCTCTGGCCGCGTTCTTCTTGTGCTTTTTGCCATCATAATGTTGCTGGGCCATGCCGGGGTTGTTGAACCACGCATTGCATAGCTGGCAGTAGCGGTCTGAGTTGCGGCGCTGTTGCAGGGTGGTCATGAGAGATGTTTCTGGGGAAGTCTTGACAGGACTGCAGGACGCCTCTTAAGAAAACCAAAAACAAAACACTAAATTTAGGTTTTGCAAGAGTTTTACAGTTCAGAAGGAGGTAGGTGCTTCTGTAACTTATTACCGTTACTTTTATGGCAAAAAGATATATTCGTGGTCCTTAGCAAACATGCAAGGCCTACAAGTATTTGGTTTGACTTAGATATTTGTATGTCTATAATTTAAAGAATATGTATTGGTGTTTAAATATGTTAATTTGAGTAATGACAGGACTCTGCAAGTAAAGCAAATATAAAAAAAATATTTACAATCACAAAGAATGTCAACAACAGGAAAACATTCAGATATGATACAAAATGTAAGGAAAAAAGAACAAGATTCAAACTAAAGTCACCAGAATCAGAATCAGAATCAGCTTTATTGGCCAGGTGTTTCGGACACACGAGGAGTTTGACTCTGGTACATCGGCTCTCAATGTGCATGTACATATCTCCATGCAAGGGGCAAGTAGACAGTAAACCAACTTAAGGCTAGTATATCAAAATAAGCAGTATTAACAAGCAACAAACTAAGCAGTATAAACAGGCAGTAAACGATGCAGACAGATATTTAACAGGGAGACCAGTTGATCTATAGCATACAGTATGCTATGAGTGTCTTCTCCCTGTTGTCCTGTGCTCTCTGTCATCAGATTTGACAAATGTGTTGTTATCCATGTGATTTACACTTTTAATGACCAGTTTTAACTACCTAGCATTTCATTCTGCTACTGCTACTGTCATCTTTTCATCTTTCAGTGAATTGTGTATGACAGATGGAGTTATTTTTGTCCAGATTAATCATGTTTTGGCAAAGGCTTCTGGAAATGGAACAGGTTTCCCACCTCAAAATTCACTATACAAGAAAAACATTGCTTAAGAATAAAATAGCATCAATATATATTGCTTTAATTATAATATAGGAACATTTTTTAGAAATGTAACAAAAATGCAGACTGCTAACTGCATGTCAGCAGCGCCTAAAAACACAAGTTGGCTCATAGAGTAGAGATGTGTAGCAGACAGAGGACAATGTAAGGGCTTTAATGAGCAGTGATCCACTGCAATGTAACAATGACTGGAACCCTGCTAGTGCACCGCTTTGCATAACAAGCTGTTATCTCCATGAAATGCTTAAAGAGGAAAACCTAAATTCTACTTGGCAAATGAAATAAAGAGCCTGCTCCGTTTGTGGCGGCCCACTTGTGCCTTCATGCATGAATGATGGCATTAACCCCTGATGAGTGCCGCACTCCACTGAGCGCTCCCCGACACTAAACGGTAATCAGTTTTAACATTCCAGTGCTCGGCCCACTCTAAGTCAACATTTAGTGTTGTCCCATTACGTTCCGTTACACCGATCACCATTTCAAAATGGCAACTCGTGAAAAACACAGCAGCGAGATAATGTACAGAAAATCAGCTGTCAGCATTTTAATCTGTGTCTTTAAGATCTTTGCTCTTCAGTGAGTCAGAGCTGAGCCATAGGCAGAGCAAAGTTCACATTTGTATTAGAATTTACATTCAGCAGTTGGTTAATGCGCTCATCCATGGTATTTGGCTATAATGAAGGATTTGCATCGGTGACTGTGCTGACCTGTGATCTTCCAAATAGGCCAATATAAACTGTCCAGCTTAATTGAATCCCTGTAGTTGTCTTTGCAAAGTGGTCAGAGGTCAGCCACAGAACAGCAGCCCTGGAGCTGTTCTGGATTTAATACCTTACTCGGTTTTTAGAAGGAAGGGTGTGCATCTGCCATGGATGAATCCAAGGACTTAAACTAGCTATAAACCTCCTACCCAGTAGGAAGCCCTGTATACAGGAAGTAGGAGGTGACCTACCTGCTCTTTATGCATCACCAGAGCTTTAAATATTCAGTCAGCAACAACTTTATTAGGTACAACTGTACAATCACATGCACTTTAATGCAACACTTCTGCTTTTACATCTGTTAAGCTCAAACTGTTTCAATTTTTGGTGAAATTGTTTTGAATTTTATGTTTATTATTGAGGTCATAATTAAAGGTGGTGTTATACTGGACTACATTATATTCAGAGGTGTTCCTAATATTCTGACCCAATCGTGTATGTAGCTGGGGAGGACAAAATTATATAGATACCTCTAAATATAATGTAGTCCAATACAACACCACCTTTCATTATGACCTCAATAATAAACATAGAATTTATAAACTTATGACATTTTCACCAAAAACTATTGTGCCGAGAGTGATATTCCATTAAAGCTGTTTAGACACGTCTGACATATGACAACATTCAGGCAGTTACTAAGCAGAGCAAAGACGGGGATGACAGAATGTGAAAGGGAGAATTTGCTGTGGGAAGCTCAGGGAAGGTAAAATATTTGCTGTTTACATTTGGTGTTATTATTACTGTTGTTGTTGGTTTATTTCAAAACTGCTATCTAAATGGAGCCACAGACATGAAGAAAAGGTCTGAGCTTAGCATAAAGACTGAAGCAGGAACAGCTAGCCTAGCTTTGGGCAACAATTTGTAGAAATGTAGAAGTGACAATCACTGCATGTGGATGCTGTCTCCAAAATAATTGTTACAACACAAACTCCTTGTTAAATGACAACTCTACATTTTTACATTTTTGTTGTGTACAGATTAAATAAATAAGATGCAACATAATGAGCTGTAGAGGTGTTGCTAGGCACTGGGCAGAGGCTACCTGTTTTACATCTTTGTGCTAAGCTAAGCTAATTGACTCTTGGCTCTCATTTAAGTCTCACAAATAAGCAAATAAATCTACCTACTAGAGGCCACCTGTCTCATGATAAATATTCTGACAATCTTGGCGTCTTGTCATTGTCTTTGTGATGACCTCATCTGCATTATGTAAACAGTTCTGTAATGCTTTTTACTGCCTGCCGTCTTCAGCACCAGATGGAAAGGTTTAATCAATCAATCATCAATCAATCAATCAGCATCAACTAAATCTCAGCACCTCAGTGACTCCTTGTGGGCTGTTTCTGAATTTGCTGTACTGACCTTACCCAGCAGTAATTCAAATGGGCCATTGTCATTACACTGTAACTTTGTCTGTGCCATTTATAATGCTGATCCAAAATGCAGAGCTTACCCAGGCTTGGTGTCTGAATGAAAATCAATGTAGCAGAGCAGGAGATACAGTATATTTGTTTTATTCCTCACCTTCTTCCTCCTTGTCAAAACATGGCACTGTATTACCCACAATGCAACTTGACCACAGAGAGCTGTGACACAAGATATGACATGTTTACTTTGTGTGTATATGTGTGTGTTTGCTGACTTCTGAGGAAAACATAAGGCTCTTTAGGTGCTAAATACCCCAACTGTGGCCATCAGATAGTTTCTAACTGTCTGCCATTTTGTACTGAGCAGGTAGTGCGCACTGGATTAAGAGGGTTTTTTGCTGCCTGGTGATGAAAGCAGTGACACTGAACCAAAACAGTAAAGTTGTATGCCAGAAAACCAAAACAATGAGCTGAAAGACACAGAAGGGAACTGCAGAGTGCCATTACTATTTTATCTAGAGGTTTGAAACAACAAGTGACCTCTTTCACACAAAGGGAGTAGAGACAGAACATAAACCTCAGTCTTGTTTACATTCTATTTATTATGAAGAGGTGTGAATATTGAACATTGTAGATTATTGGTCAAATCTCTTGTGTAAAAGTTAGGAGGAAACGAGAAGCACACTGGAGAAACTCAAATAGTTTTTTTTTGCAAATAGGAATTAAAGATGCATGATTACAAGATCTAAGCAAAGCTCATTTGTCATCATCAAGGTGCCCTCTCTGTACAGTATCCTCCTCCAGCAGAGTGTAATTACATTCTTATTTAATATTCTCACTGCTTTTACCCCAGAGTGTCCTGGCCATTTGTCTAGCAGCTCACCAGTTTTACCTCCAGGTTTTACTTTCAATACTAGGCAGCAGAGTCCACATTCTTACACAGTACTGTGTTACTGCAGGATGGCTCTCCGGCCTCAAAGACAACCCACCTGGCACATGAAGAAGTGAAACCCTTTCCCATTTAGTACATCATTAAAGCTGTACTGTTTACGACCTCTCTGTGCTTTGATTGAGGATTCAGCTCAGTTCAGAATGCAGGCTTCACCGCCATCGCCAAGAGGCAGATGGTGTCAGCTCGGTGTGGCACCTGCTGTGTAAAAGACACTTTTAAGTTGATGAAAAGGCTCTTACATCTCTATATTATATGTTTAAGCAGCAACGAGATAAAAATGTGCCTTATTTTGCTGCACAGATCTACTGTAATTTCATGAACTTTGGACACACAGTGCTAAGCAGTGAGAACACACTAAAACCACTCCAAGAGGACTGCAGCTTTTTCCTTGAAGTTAGAAAATTCTTCTGACACTGATGTCTGGAAAAACATTTTTTGGGAGAATCATCAGTACAGCAGGGAATAAATCAGCCCAGCCTCGTGGTCTTGATTTATCATCATCAAGTCAAGGAGAAGGTACACATGCCACATTTCATAATGGCAGCCTTGTGGCTAGTTAGTCAGAGGACACACACACACTGCAGCAGTTTATTGGCCTAATAATGCTCTCTGCTGTCTAACAAAATGTGAGGGGGGTTCTGCCTGTCGGATTGGAGAGAGCATTCCAGCACACAGGCTTACACTGCAGCATTTCATTTCTTCAGTTTTAGTACAATATAGCAATAGAAAATTTAATGTTGGATTTATATAATGTTTTGCTCAGCATGGGTAAATGTTGGTATTTTACAACTACGAATGGAATGGAAGCTGGTAGAAGAAAGATATTTGCAATTCTTTTCCATCCTGTGTGTTCATGTTCAACACCTGAATATCACAATTTAATTCCCTTGAGTGAAGGTCAAAGGTAAAGGTTACATACTGTTGTCTGCCATGTGTCTTTGACCTAAAAACCTAGTCCAGTTGATTTTTCTAAGTTTTTTTTAGCATGTGTCAAGACCATAAGTCAGGATGTGGCACAGGGCAG